AACAAACATATTCTTCCAGGGGCCTATGTTCCACTTCCATTATTTTTTCATGGAGTGTAAACATGTAGATGTTGGCCTTCAAGATCCTTCAAGGATAGAGGGAACAAGACCCCTGAAGCAGTAGATGTGGAATGCCCACCCATGGCAGGCTGGTCCGAGTTCCAGGATCTTGTGAAACCACATCTCAGACCTGACATACCTGTTAAACACGCCCTCTAACAGTCAATGTAGACTGTTGATGACAGGTGAACCCCTTAGCATGAAAAGGTGTCAGAATGGGCTTTTGCTTTTACTCTATATGTACATACAATCAACAGTCATTATATCCTTTTATGATGTGCCATGAGGATTTTGAAGCTCCAGACTGTTCCACACAGTGGCTACACACCGGTAGATACCATACTACACAAATCCTCGACTGCATTGATGTGTCGGGTGTCAGCCCCCTGCTCTCCAGAACCCCTCAGCAAAAGGACACCACATAATAGTTTGCACTTATTTTGATACTTGAAAAAAAGCGTCAGAACATGACGTTTGTACTCCACTTAACATCTCGCCGTCCTTCTCCCAGTCTTGGAATCGCAGGACGCCGACCCAGTTCCCCACGTTTGGACCGGTCGTCGCTTCCAATTCAGCTTAGCTTCAAAGCCCTCGGTCTTGGTGTCCGTCACGAAGACCTCCTGTACAACACCTCCACGGAAGGTCTGGACGGTGACCGAGAATGGACCTCCGATCGACCTGTTTCAGCCTACGTGAAGAGACATGCCCAAAGGATCTGATGCGAAGAACGCAGTCCAGGACTGGCCTACATTTGATGAAACTTCTTGGTGGTGTAGGTGTGGTGTAGGTGTGTAGGTGTGGTGTAGGTGTGGTGTAGGTCTGTAGGTCATCTTGAATTGATCGATCATGTTGGAAAGATGGTGTTTGGAGTGAGGTCTTCACAGCACCCAGATGTGATGAAACCTCTTGGGAGTCCAAGGCTTCTATCACCTGATTCCATTTCATGGATGGGGTGGGAATCCCTGCGTACTTCCATCTGTGATCATCTAAGACGTCCATTCCTTTCTACACCTTTTCACCTCGGCTAGTCCCAACACGCACCAGATCCCACCCCCCTCGCCTAGCAGCCAGTCCTTCCGACTCTCGCTCCAAAAGTGGATCTTCTCACCTGCGTCGGCTCCCCCATCGCGGAGGTCCACGGTTCACGGTCCACCCACCGCGATGGAACCAACGAAGCGACGACTGGACATGGCATGGATGAAATGGATGGCTTATAGCGTGCTTGCGATCCGCAACGCGCGCAACACGAAAGGATGCAAACATTCTCAAAGATAGCTAACACTTGAAAAGACTCTCGCGTATAGAGTAGAGTAATCTAATTGCATGCGCACTACATACAGAGGGCCTCGTTCGAAGATTGGCGGGGCGGCATTCGACCTCAGCGGAAGGCACTGACGTAGAGTGAGTATTATATTAATAATTATATAATATGTGGCCAAGACCATTACTAGCACCTCTCTGGAGACCCCTTCATTTTGCACGGCCCGATTCCCAAAAGGTATCAAAAAGTCCCCCTCCCAACTCCCTTCGATTGTGTTTTCACATAAGATGCTGATTTCATTGTTGAACACGCACCTCTTGAAGCAACACATGATGTACCAGCAAGATCTTCCATCCTCCCAGGCTCGTCATGTCAGTCTTGTGTACTTTAGACTTATACACCACGAGCACATGGCTACGTGGATGGCCCACCCTGTTACGCTTTCGGAAAAATCATCATCCTGTTGGGTCCATGCCATCCACGTCACCATGTGATGTGTTCGTCGGAGGGTTATCCAGGCTGTACTTCAACATCCTGAGAAAACGCACCTAACAGTCAGGATAACTACAGTTGCTTTTGTCTTTGAAGTTCAGGACATCATTAAAAGCATTGGTGATCATTGGGACTCCTGTAGAAAGATTGATGAAGCAAGCTCTTTTCCCAGGAGGACCATCGCACCTTCGCCCTCCAGGTCGGCCGCTCGAGTCCGCCGCTGAGACCCCGGCGGCCGCAAGGTCTTGCCGATGGCATCGGGCATCACCCACTTGGAGGTGCCTTTTCGCGTCGAATCGCTGAACGAAACACGTCGTGCAAGAAGTTGAATGTACATGCGTGTCGTTACAGGTAAACGGCCCACAAGTACCAAGATACCGCACCTGTTCTCCTTGAGCCAAAGGAAAACAGGTCGGTTAGGATGACGGATGAAGGTGGCTAAATTTGGGGATATCTGCAGCAGTTGGACATAGTTGGACCACACCTCGCCTCGCCTCAATGGACCGCGTCCCAAAAATGTATAAACATGTGTATATACACATGAAGTACGCAGTGCCATGCTGTGCCCATCTCATCTTACCTCCAATGTTGTACGGTAGTCAGCCATGCAACTATTCTACATTAACCTGCCTAGAAGCAGGACAATTCCTCAACTTGCTCGGAACGCATGCAAAATCCAAAGCCAACATCTACAGGCGTACACCCTGGAAGATTAACATAAGTAGAAGAACATAGTCTTCCAAAGGTCCATTTTCAGGTTCCCGGGTGCATAATGTCCAAGCGTCTGTCATTTAAGTTTCGTCTTATCAAGGCATCTCACAGCTGTGGCTGTCCTGCAATGAGTTCTTAACAGTCTAAAAGCAACAAGGTTTAAATGCAACTATCAACACCGATGATGGCCTAAAATACTAGTATGCTTCTGCGATCGTTTCCGCATATTCCCGCAATATTCCCGCAATATTCACTTTGACCCGTTTGGAGCATTTGGTGGTTTCGGGTCACCGGCGCTTAAGCCTGGCCCGACACCATCTGAGCTTCGCACCGGCGCTCGATCGAACCAGCAAAGAACCAGCCTGGGTTGACAGGCGCGATCGAACCGTCTTTGAGAACGTGTTCGTCTCGTCAAACCGCGCGGAATGGACCACGCAGAGTATGTATCCTTTACCATGCAGACTCGTTGGCAACATCTTTTGGCTGAAAGTAACTGACTCATGCCACATGAATCTTCCGAATTTAAGGTCCAATCAATAAGTAGAGTGAGTCAATGAAAAGTCTACCTGGATTTGGTGGCTCAACATCTTTGTGCTCAGTGTCCCTAGTGCTGTGATGCACAGGGCCCGAACAAATCACCAAGCAAATGGTCCCTGTTGAACCTGTTGCCTGTGGGACTTAAAAATCTTGTCACTCATGAAAAGGTGCTACAGCACACGGAGCTGTTCAATGGTTTAGTTTAAATTTATTTGAAGATCCCAGGCATCAAGTTGAACCATCCCAGGCTTACTGGTTGAACAATTCAATTGTAGACTCTGGATAGCTAAACCGCCCCCTCATTTGACTCGCAAAGCCTCTTCTGGCGGGGGGATTGAATCATCCACAGCATCCAACCAGACATATTTGAGGACTATACTGATACTAACAAATATGTCGATGAATCCACCCCAACCGGGGACGAAAAACCCTGTTCAGTGAGCCCAGCAAACCCACCAGCAACGGCTCAGCCGCGGATGGCGCGCCAGGGCCCCCGTCTGGGATAGTGAACCCTCGGCCCTTGGTGTCCACGGCATAGGCCTCCTGGCATAGGGTGTAAAAGTGGTTACCTCCTAAATATAGTCGAGGTTACCTCCACTATTTTAAACATAGTCGACGACTGCTAGGGATGAGATGATGTACGTACAGTCTTGTTAGATGGTCGTTCGCTCCTTCCATCGGCATTTGGAGGCTTTGAGTCGGTTTCTCCAGGCGACACACTGGCAAGCAAGCATCTACATGTGCAGCAGGCAAGCACGGGGGCTCCTTCCATGTGCTTTGATAGGGGCAATCAGCAGCTGAAGAACATTGAAGAACCCCAACCCACCAAAGGACTTCCAAGAAACAACAAGGACCATGGTGGCATGGTCCTCCCAAATCACATGACACAGCAGCGGTCGCAAAAAAGTGGGCCTCCGACCTTCAGTGCAAAGTCTGAGCCAAAGGCCACCGCTTCGGCCGAACGAGAAGCTGCGGAAGTCACCCGCCGTGGCCCGCCGGTACATTACCACTTCTTATGAAAACATGTACATTAAGTCTCCGGGGTGACTGCTTGTCCTTTACCAAGCAAAAATCAAGATATGATATCAAGTCACTAATACAATACTATAGGCTATAGGTTATTATAAGTTATAAACCCGCCATAACCAGCTTCAGAACTCCATGGCAAACGCCACGTTCAGAACTGCTTTAGATCTCAACCACTCCTGTTGACCTCTCGACCACTCCTCGACCACTCCGTCCACCCAGGCACCATTGGAGTCGCTCCACACCTGCAGGAGGGACGAGTCGAGTCGACTCCGTCGCGGCGAACGCTCCGCAACGAGATCCGATGGCGAACGCTCCGCAACGAGATCAGGACCCCCAAAAATACAGACTGAACCAACTCCTTGAGATCCAAAAATCGGATCCAGGGACATCCAGAGACCCCTTATTCAAAGTTTCTACAGTAGCAGTTGAGTGCTTTTGGGGTGTGCCCAGATGTTGTTTTCTCCTCTCAGGTGCACCTGGGCCTTCACGTGGCTTTTGGAGAAGCTGTGTTGCTTGACATGGCCAGACCATTCTGACATGGCCTGAATTGCATCACCCTTGCGGTACTGCACACCACTCAGCCGCAGCCTCGGTGGCTGCGAAGCAGCTGCACAGGCCCGGCCCGCGCCGCAGACCCCAAACACAGGACTTGGACACGTTTGGCGATTTCCTGAAATTGTGGATGGAGGTCAGTCACAAGCAAAGATAGTTACCCCCCAAAACAACATAAAAACAATGAGTCATAGGACCCCCCCCCTTATCCTCCACATACTTCCTCTGGCAGCATGTTTCATTGTCCCCTTTCGTGACATCTATTCCTTGGAAACTTTGCCTCTAACTTCTTTCATGTACCTTTCTAAAAAGCCAATGTGTCTCCATCCTTCCCTTCCAAGAAGCTTGGGCGACAACGTTGTTTTGAGCTTCCCGCTGGGTCCAGCTTTCTCAAAAAGCGCGTCCAGCTGTGGTCCCCCTTTGGGGGAACCGGAAGCCAAGGTGAGACACTCACTAGCCTAAGCTGAGGCCCATCAGGCGACAGCTGAGCACCATCGCCGCAAAACTGGCCTCGTGAAGACTCTGCGAGGGCGAAGGTGATGGATGGCCAAGGATGTGAAAAGGACTCTTCTACCAGCGGGGCCCCACAACAACCATCAAAAAGCTGGGTTTCCCTAGCAAGAAAACATGGTGTAATTCCATGGTTTAACCTATTGTTCATTGGCTTTTTAGGGCTGCTGGTGAGCTTTGCTTTACATTCGACATGTCAAAGGGCCAAATTGCCACCGTCCGGGGAGATCTAATGGAGTGAACCAGCCCGGACCAGCCCCACGTTGCAAGGGGGCTGGTGAAACCAGTTTCAGAGTAGATGATGTACATGGCACAACCCTCTCTTCATATCTTGTGGTGCAAGTCCACATCAATAGCCTGCGTAGAGATTGTGTCATCTACTTCAAAAACTGAGCCCCTCCCGTGTCCTACCTTACCTCGATGTTGAGTCCCCTTGGCATCCTCCGTCAAATCTTTCCCTTGGCATCCCGTGCCTGCGTCGGGTCAATCCAAAAGTGGAGGAATCTCCGGAATTTGACCTGTGAGGCGGTCAGGAATGGCTGGAAAGTCTGTCTGACTATCATTCAAGTCCAGATCTGATTAGAACATCTCCTTAGTTTCTCTTGCTTGCTCTGTACCAGGAAGACCCAGGCGTAGACCTAGGATACTGGCTCCCCCTTCACTTCCGTGTGTGACAATGTTAGGAGAACTTGAATGAGTCCTTGCCACATGCCGCTTATGGGGTGCAAAACGTGGTGTCACTCTTTCAGCAAAGCCTGTTTTGTTGACAAGCGCAAGCGCAAGCGCTGTGTTTCACGCTGCATGCATTAATGACGGTCGCTCTTCGGATGGGTCTGGTGGGTGGTAAATGACTAGGAGATGGCAAGAAGTTCTTTGAACGGCTGTGTGGGTTCAAAGCCTTACCGATAACTTCCCTGGTTGTGGTTCGGAACGGCGTGCTTGCAAGTAAAAGTGGCTGACTAAGTGGCTGAGAATACCTTACTATAGTTTGTTCAAGTTCGACATTTTGGCTCAAATACCAAAATACCGTGCACCTGGTTGGTGCCCAAAGGGATTTACATAGGTTGCTATCGAATCGCTGCTGGCCAGCGCGCAAAGGAAAACCCTATCCAGGGGAGTTTGTGCATGGCTGGCTTGCACGAAAAGGCGAGGTTGGAGACAAACATGGTGACAGAACGAGAGAATGGCTCAAAGTGATTCGACTAGACCCCCCTGCCCCTAACTGGATGGTGAAGCATCTGCATTTGGATGACTAGTAACTAGTATGCAAAAAACACACAAGTAACACAGTAATTATCAGTACTTACTCAATGAGTACAATGACCAGGTTTTATTTGTTCCTTGGACGGGTAGGGTTCATGTTGCTCCTCTCTTGCTTGCCTGTGGTCTGCGCCAGCGCGGCGGCGCCATAGGGATCAGCGCCGAAGGCGTTCACGCGCTCCTTTGGGAAGCGGTTTGGGCGAAGTCGGGGGAAGGAGGTAAGTGAGGAGGGTGAATTGTGAGACAACCAAGTGGGTGTGGTTTGGTCGCCCCACTTTTAAGTTGTTCTGGTCGTGACAAGATTAGGTTTTTTTGGGGGGGTGAGTTGTGAGGCCTTGCTGCCAATGGGTTTGGTAGTTTTGTTGTTTTTTAGCCAGGAGTCGTTGTCTTAGACCATTGAAATATAGGATTTGACTTGATCAAATGGTCGCTATATGTCGCTATGGGTGTTCCAAAGGATCCCTTGGAAGACCATTGCCCCAATCCCGAACAGTTGAGTTTCTTCCCACTCCGCTTCCGACTCCGTTCGTCCGGCGCCCTTCATCGGGCGGCCCCGGCGGGTTCAAGAACCCGTTCGTCCATCGCGCGGCCCAGCACCGTTCAATTCCTCCCTCCAAACGGGGCAAGCCCCCGGCGCCCTTCGTCCTTGGCGCGGCCCTCGCGGCACTGCGCGAAGACACGGCCTGGCGATGCCGCCGACTTCCGCGGAGGTCTGTGCGACGTCGGCTTCGGCGGCACGGAGTTGGGCAAGGACCAAACCAGAATGACATACCATAAAAAGTGCAGTGAATCGAATATATCATTGAAATTCATGGTGATCGATATATCATGGCAGCATCTTGATGTACACAGTGTCACCATGAAGGGCCTACATACGGCTCTTTTGGGTTGTATCGCTCTTCGACATTGGTTGACCTCAATCAAAAAATACAAATTTTCTGGTCAAGCAGGTTGGGATCGCTCAGTTCAAGTTGCTTTCCTGGATGTTAGTACCCTCCCTCCAACAAACATGGAAGGGGAACATGGCCTTTTGGAAGACTGCTTTCCTCTACAAACTGGTGGTTATCCACCCGACCATGAGTGTTTCAGGGAGGGTAACCCTCCAAAGAATTGAGCAAGCGTTCTTGATCCACTCCTCACCTGTCCAAATCTATCAGAAGAATGATGAAACATGTTGAAGGCTGCATTCCGCCCCAAGGCTGGCTTGAACAAGGTCAACAAGTTAAAATGTTGCCTTTCGGTCAAGGGTATCTCCCATGTGGCCCATGGACTCAAATTGGAACACCTACGTATATATCACCATAGTTCCCCAGCACCGTAGTTTGCCAACCTTAGTTTACCCGTCTATCATCCTGTTATCATCCTCTTCATATCAATGGCACTGATGTTCCTGTCCGTGAACGCAAGCCGCTCCGGATGTTGACCCAACAGCCACCCTGCTGTTTTCAGCTGAACGGCCCTTTTTCGCCGCCCGAACGGTCACAACCCTCCAACAAACCACCTCAGACTCAGTCAATTCTACAGTCTGACCAGTCTGTATCTACACTCAACCTCTACAGATCTCTAAAAAGCTCATAGAGGGCCTATACAGTCTGCCTACAATCATGTCCTCCTTCTTTTTTTTCGTTATAATGTAGACTCTTGATTAATACACCCCCCCAGACATGCATTGAACATCCTCTTCAAAGGGGTGGTTTATTCATCTTAAGAGTCTCTCTCTCTCTCTCTCTCTATAGATCCTTCTCCTTCCAGACGGACGCCGCTCGCGAAGACCACAAGGACTTGCCCGGCCTTGCCAGGTTTGGATCTCCTCGTCGGGCTGCCCCACCAAGCGGGGCCACTGGATCCATTCGCCTGAAGGCCGCAAGACCGGAGGGAAAACACGGGGAGAAACCAACACATGTCTGAAAAAGTGATTGTTGATGAATTTGGTTCAGCATAACACCAAAAACATCCAAAAACTGGACAAAACTCACGTTGAATGCATTCTTCCCCTCAGCTTGGGAGCTATAAAACACCATAAAACAATTATCAGATTCACAGTGGGGTCCATTCTCCGCAAGGTTTGGAGACAAGCATCCCAAAGTGCAATCCCATTCTCCGCAAAGTTGGAAGATGTTGGAAGATGTGTGGATCAAGGCAGCTGATCAGCTGGCGAGGTTTGGGGACACAAGCCCTGAAGAGAACCGTCGAAAACTCGCAGAACTGCGTGGAAAAAAGACGTGGAACATGTGCAAGCACCTTTTGGTACTGGTGGACTCCCCCAGAGCTTGGATGGGGGAAGGATGGGTTTTCATCCAGCTACGGAACGACCTCCCCAAATGTGTATGGGGACTGGCAGGACGGTAGGACCTCTAGATGTACATAGATGTACTAACTCGCTCTTGTTGGGTGTCCTAAATGTTTCCTGGCGTTTCCAATCTGGGTCCAATCAGGCAGTCTGTTTGGTATCCAACGCTAAACCCCAACGCTCCTCATCCAATGTTTTGGGGTTCGGGTCAACAATCCAAAACCCTACATCTCGTCACATCTTGGACCACGAGTTGGACCATCGTCACGAGCTGGGCATTCCGAGACGAGCGCGACTTGCATCTTCTGGGCATCCGCAGATGGGCGGAGCCTCCGACCAGCCTTTTGGAGTCCACCCGAGTTAGTGCCGTTGGTCTGAGCCACCCGCACCTGCGATGCGGTGGAGCGTTCGAAGCTCTTCATCCGTGAACTTCGCGTTGAGAACCTCGAAGAAGTGCACCAGCCTCAAAGAACATGCCAAATTGCGGTCCCAAAACCACCCGGGATCACAGCATATCACAGGGATCGCCTGGAGTTGTGGAGCCTGGCCGCTGGGGGTGCCAGGTTTTCAAGCTTGATTGATAAGGTCGATCTAATCCTCTTCTGCCTGTAGCCCTCACATCCTCTTCTGGCTCTAGCATCCATCAGGGCCGGCAGGGCCCCAAGATGGCCCAACCGTGCCGACGGTGCGACGAGAAACGTGAGGAATCTTGGGACATGATGCCAAGATGGCCCTATTATAGCTGCTTAGTACATGCAACCTAAACAGCAAAGCGCTAGTCTATGATTTTATAAATCACAAGTCATGGTTGTGCCGCCGAGCCACTCAGGGTGGAGAGTTAGCAGTCGCAAATGTTCTGAACAGGATTTCAAGGCCTCATCCTTAGCTGCTACATGTTTTCAATGCTATCCTTTGTAGGCTTGTAGGTGTACTTCCAACTTGCTCCCGCACTACGCCTAGGACCTTCTGCAAGGGCTATGTTACTACCTCAAGGTTTCCCCAACAAACTCATCACTCAGTGGATCTTAATGGCGAGGACCTCGATTTTCAGCGGATGCCTAGGCCTCTGGTATTATAACTGCGTGTATCACGCAGAAACTACTGTATCATGTCACTCGAGGGAGTCTAATGGCTTCTCAAGAAGCCTGCTGAACATCCAATCCATGCCTGCTGAACATCCAATCCATTGCAAGTCCCTTCTTTGATGACTATTTAAATTTTTGAATAACAGCCCCCCCGCCAGCTGCCCTCCCACAACACCCATAGGTTCCTAAATCAAGGTGAGGCTAGCACCGGCCCAAATTACAGCAACACGTCAATTAATCATTTAATTGACATAGATTCGCCCTGAAAACGTTGAACTTTGAATATCTCGCGCACCTGAAATGAACCTCAACAAACATAGTTGAAATTGTCTTCGAACCTCCATACAACTGCAAACCTGAAGTATCCTGAAACACTTCATAACCTCATCTGCATGGGCGATCAACATCACGAGTGCTGGCCATGTCGATGCTGGCAATACCGTCACCGCCGTATCTTGACCTCGTGGCGAGATCGCCCAGACCTTGACTCCATGCGTCGGATCCCAAGTGCATCTGGATCGTCTCAAAGCTGCCAGAAAGGCTGAGAGGATCAAAGCGCAAAAGTTCGGGAAGTCTTAGCCTGAGAGGATCTTGGCGTGGTTCTCCTCCAATGCAAGGCATGGGTTCCTATGTGTATGCTCCCTCCACTCAATTTCCATGGCTCTTAGTTCCTTCAGAATGGGTCTTTTTGAGCCAGGACGTCCTGAGGGGGAATTATAGACTTCCAACTGGGTTGTGTGTCAATGGCATCTCGCCCCTGGAGCCTTTTGGCTTGGTCCCGTCGCTGAGGGCGATTTCTCGCCCTGGAGTCCTTTCCCGATGGCCCGTTCTTTCCACGACGTGTCCGAAGAATAAACCCGGTGGGTTTGGGGGTTCCATGTGAATCTGCGGTAAATTCTCTCAAACCTCTTGGCTCCAACTCCAAGTGTCCCAAAGGTTGGTTCTATTCCGAGGACGGCCCTTGGGCCAAGAGTTGGATATGTTGGGGGTGTGTTGCATGGCTGGTGCCAAGCCAAGCGGCAACACCTCCGCCAGCTGCTTGGGCAAGAGCTTCCTCAACATCTTGCATCGCTCCTGGAGCTCCGGTGCTGAAATCTCGAAGCTGGCGCCTCCCAGGCGCGATAAGATGCCTCGGGCGGCTCGCCCCCAGGCGACAAGCATTGGCCAGAAGGGCGCAAAGGAGAGGCTGCAGCTAACAAGTGCTGCTTTTGTTTTTTTTTCTCTCTCTCTCTCTCTCTATCTCCCTGTGAACTTCTCATAACTTCCCCAAAGGGTGAGGAGGGTTGCAGTTTACAAAAGGTTGATAGATTGAAACCTCTTGCCAAACCACCATCCGATGCCCACCCTGACTAGAACCGCGTGTGGTGTGCTCCCTTGTGCCCTTGGGAACGTATGTCACCAGAAATGTGGCCTGGTATCTGTCACCAACATCTTTCTTTCAGTAGGATGCTCGGAATGGAGGTGATGAACAAGTTTGTTTTCACCCACCAGCAGTTGCACAATCTTCTTTAAACCGCGAGACCTGTACGCTGAATTCAACTTCAAGCCTCATCACCGCCCTGGTTCAATGAGGCCATACGCTCTACAAGCGTCACTTTCCACCACCGAGGGCGGGATAACTTGTCTTAAATAAGGATGGTATTCATATTCACTTTCATTCATGAACCGGGGAAAGAATTCTTCCGACAAATTCATCAATGAACCTTACCCCAACCTGCAGCATCTGCCTCTTGAATTGGGGGTTTGGTTCCAACCTTAAGAGTTTCACAAACTCTGCAGGAGAATGCTCCATTCTCCAAAGCGGTGTGGAGGCAGTCGTTAGCTTTGCAGTTTTTTGGGTGGATTTGAAGGAGTTAGACCCGTTCTCTTCTTCCATCTTTTTCGGGAGTGAACACTACTCCTCACCTACACCCACTTCTCTCTGACTCGAGTTCTCTCGATTTCGCCCTTCAGCGCTGCCAGGGGGGCTGGGAGCTGCCTGGGCGTTGGTCTCCGCGGCTAAGACTTCGACCTTCCGGTCATAGATCCAGCTGAAGATCTGTGCCTCGGTGCCTGGCAGCTGAGTGAGTTGGAATTTTGTTTGGCCATCGAAGACCGCCATGCCATCCACGGAAATGGCAGCTAGTGAGCCGGAGTTGATACCAGTAAGGGGGCGAAAAGCGGATTCGAAAACAGAATGAGTGATATGGTGGCTGCCGTTCTCTGGAGATCTGATCTATACGCATGCTGGCATGGTGCCACCAGATTTGTTCATCGCGCCGCTGATCTGAAATGAGTTGGCGGTTCCGCGCCCTTGGTGCCTCACTAAGTGGAAGGACTTCACAAACACGGTTTGGATTGCCAAGCAAGTCCCAAATTGAGGAAGAACTGCTGCACCATCCAAGCAGCACAGGTCACGTGTTCCATGGTGTGAACAAATTCAGCGCATGTGGGAGATTACATGGCGTGCGGCGTGAGGCATCTTTCGCTCACTTTCAACCATGGCACAAAGTCCTTCTGTGAAGAAGACTTGATCATCTTATCTCCAATGCCAAAAAAAAGAATAACCTCTTCTGGTCCTTTCAGCCCACTTGAAACATATGAGTCAAAGGGTTCAATATCATCCCCAAGTAAGGGTTAAACATAAATATCTCCGAAACCGTCACCTCTTATCCTTTTGTGCGAACCCCTCCCTTCCCTGCGAGTCGGAAATCAGCTGTGCGTGACCTTGCTGACACAGCTTGGGCCAAATCAGGTGCTTGCTACCTCAGTCTTGGCACGTCGAAGCATAGCCATCTGTGCACTCTGAATCATCCTGTGCACACCAGTTCACCTGGTGAAATGAACATAAACCTGTCTGGAGGTGCCCTGTTTGGTAGAATCTGTTCATGTTGGAGTATGCCAACAAATTCTGGAAAAGATCGGCCCTGAGAGAAGTCGAAGTGTTTTTGACGCAGAAAAAAGGACGTGTTTTCTCGAGATTCCCCAGATTCAAGGACTTCAGCCAGACTCCCCCCCACAAAAAACCGTCTGCCTAATTGGGCCCATGAAGATTTACAAATAGTATATTGAATAAAGTCCTCCAACTTCACCACAAAAATCACACACCTCTCCAGGCCACTGGGAAAGTGCCCCGGAGGCACCACCGTCTGCAGTTCCTTCAAGACGACCTCTCTGGCCACCAAGTCTCCGAGCCTCGGTGGGCAGGCGGTGGTAGCGAATCTGCCGTGGGAGCAGACGAATGGCGTTGAGACTTGGAGTGACGCAAGACAAGATGCTTTGTGGATCGGTGTGAACCAAGCTAGCTTGCCAGCACTTGTTTTTGAGGTTATGCAGTTATTATATGCTTTAATAGAGTTCTGACAAGTGTTCACACCCAAAAATGTAGATGTAGACATCATGGACCACGTCTGGACACGCTAGTCTTGATTGGTAAGTGGCACCACCCCTTTCTGTACCTATCCTGCAGATCTTCGACCGGTTCTCTGGATCCGACCTGCCCGACCTGCGGACCCTGCGGACCTGCTTCCTCCGCTCCCAGGCGCTCGCGGCGCATTCGGGTGAAGAAGGCTTCGAAGGGATCGCCCGAGCACAGCAGCGCCGGCTCGCGCATGAGCAGCTGACGCAGTAGATCCGGTCGTCGGGGTGAGAGCTGCTTGAAGAGGAACAGCGCAAAGAAGTCCGGCCTTCAAGTGAGGGCGTGGGTAGTCCGGTGAGATAGAGGGGAGGATATATGGGTAGATATATATGGTTAGATATTGGAAGGAGTGTACATGTTTTGGTGGTAATGCTTATAGTTGGTAGGTTAGGTGGTACAGTGGTACAGTGGGGGTTGTTTTTTCTTGGAGTTGGGGGCCGTGCTGGAACGAGACTGCAGGGACTGCAGGCGCCCAATTCATGTGCCTTGCTCCTTCATCGGGCCATCGCTTCATCCGAATCCATCCAAACCCGGCATCCTGCCTGCCTGAGCCCTACAAAAAAAACGCCATCCCGTCCCGGACCGAAGAAAGGAACCCATCTAGAAACGATTCGTCCTCCGGCTAGCTGTCTTCATGGGCGAACGCTATCCGGTAACACATACAGATCTATGCAGAACTATGCCACGTCATCTGCGAAAGGTCACCGATGATGTTCGCATGTTCGGGCGGAGCAGCCCACAGCCGGGGACTTCAAGCACTTGACCAGCTTCAAGGGTCTGCAGGTACACATGAGCACCTTGGATTCGAGGGGGCATCTGTCTTTACATCTCTGGAGCCGATCTGGTTGAAGAATGTTGAAGAATGTTCCAGAAAAATGTGCTTGGAATTGTGAATTGCCTTTATCCATTGGAAGATCATCCGGAGACGGCAATCTTAGGGATACGGAGGGGAACATGTAAAACTCATATCACTCGCGACCCTAGCCTGAGGACCAAAAGCACAGCAAATATGTGAAACATTGTGAAACACAAGTGTCCTGGATTGTCCCAGCTCCCAGCATCCACCATGGGAGCAACAAAAAGAACACACACACACACAGAACCAAAGCCTCTTGAAAACCCTCACACTGCAGCATTCGGCACAGGTGATCTTCTTCGTATCCGTGCTGGCGATGGAGGCATGCAGCTTCTGTGGCAGGGGCTGCCAGGCAGACTCTTCACTGTCCACCCAGTGAGGCACCGGCGCCAGCGTGGCCTGGCCAACAGGTCACCCGGTCACCCCTGTGGAGGTCTGGAACCCCGGTTCTGCATGAGGGCTTCTGGTGGGCCCCCAAGAGGTTTGGGGGCAAGGTTTCGACTCCTTGTTGGCACCAGGTGCAAGGAGGTTCTTTCTGCACCTTGGCTATCTTCAGGTGCCTTGCTTTGTAAGTCCCACGCTGAACATATCTGAACATTCCCACATGGCCCCGTGGTGGCCAAGTGTGCTTTGTTATCATGGAACAGCGACTCACCAAATCAGTGGATTGAACTTCTGTATAGCATCTTAGTTAGAACATGGTTGTTTCCAATTGGGGTTCAACATGGAAACGGATTAACCCACCAGGATGCTGAAACCCACCACGATGCTGAAAGGAGGCGCCACCGCACCGGTGGCTTTTTTGCTTCATGGTCTGCTTGCTTCCGACTGCTAAGGACTGGATGCCAGCATGACGTATGCTTTCGCGTCGCTGTGTCTCCAAATTCCTTGACCCAGCCAAAAGATCAGCACGGCAATCATGGCAATGAAGGCATGAAAGAGCAGGGCACCGGCCTCACCGAATTCAATCAAACACTTGGTGCTTCCAAAGGAGGCTAAGGAGCACAGGAAGCCACTAAAAACCACCTCCATGCAAGCGGCAAGCCCTGCCACATTCTCTAAAGGATCCATAAAAAGGGTGGGTAGGGACGTCACTGGTCCAGTCATGAGGCCCATATGGAAGGCCGATTGCAGCACGTAGCCCCACATGCTGTTGGAAAAGCTGATACCTGCCACGACGTCGACCAGGATGGGAACGATCATCGCCAGCACCCCACATTGCGCAACATGGATGACACTGAACGTTGCTTTCGAATAGAAGTAATTCATCACAAGGCTCCAAGCAGTACATATAAAAATGGTTGCTGCAATGACTGCACAAGTAGTAAGGGTGCTCTGGCCGTAGTAGACCTCCATGACATAGCTAACATTTGCCAGAAAACAAAAATAGATGGAGTAGAAAAAGCCTTCCGCAATAAGCAAGCAATCCTGACGCCAATTCTCAAGGACAGTTCCCAGGTCGTGCCAAAAACTGTTCCGATCTTCCTTTGGCGCACTTTCTGGAACTGCCGCACAGGCGAGAATTAGAAGGGAAGCCCAAAGCAACGAGAGGACGAGAAAGTCAACTCTCCAGCTTGTGCTATTGGCGATCACACCTGTGCAAAGGGCCAGCTAAAAAGGCATCAAATGCGTAAAACGATGTAAAAAGGCTAGGGGTCCCAAACTTGGAAAAGAACGAACAAAAACATGAAAAATCATATCTTCTACCAGGGCCCTCCTGTGCCAGGCTGCTTTTTGGATCCCTACAGGTGGTTTCTCGACACCAGACTGGTCACCAGTCTTGTCACACCTGTCCGTCCGGTCGGTTTGTATGGCACATCCGATGCCAAAGGGATCCAAAGGGTCTCTTCAAAGTTTCAGAGCACGCCTCCCACCAGCGGAGCAGCAAGGGGTCCTGCCCAGGTGCCAATCCACAGTCGCGAGAACACGCTGTAACGCTCCTGACGCGCGGAGGACGCGAAAACGTCGAAGCCATGCCCTAGGTATGACTGGACTCTCTAAACCCACCCCAAAAACACCTTCTTAGAAGGTACTTGGCGCCCTAGGGATGAGGTCAACAACATGAATTGACCTATGAATCCGAGAACTATCGCAAGAGGGTTTGACAAATGCGATTGTCGCATACACCATATACGTACAGGAGCTTGATTGGCCTCTTAAGAGCTTCATTACGATGTCTCGTTTATTTTCTCGGAACGTCCTTCAGGTCGTCATGGAAGTCCCTGACCGATGCAAAGACCACTGGCTCCACTGCCTCGCCAAGACCTTGTAAGATCCGCGCCAGAAGAAACCACCAGATGCTTGTGGCACACATGCAGCACAGTGATGCGACAGTAATGAGCCCAAGGCAAAGCACCAGTACGGGTCTTCGGCCGACGCGATCTGACAGCGGTCCGGTGATGAAACATCCAGCTGCTTTCGCAAAAAGGTTGATCTGTACACTACCACTCACCATGGATTCCGATCCATCCAAATCTATCTCCATCTGAGGCATGCTAGGAACATAGACATCAGCGCTAAAGTAGACGCCAGCAACCACTGCCCAATAGAAACTGAACATTCCCGGTGGAAAACCATCCGCTGCCCGATTGCGTGGTGTTTTCTGTGGAAGTCCACGCAGGGCAAGCGAAACACTCAGAATGACCAGGCTGAAGGCTGTAGTGCAAAGAGCTATCCGGCTGATAAGTGAGCTGGTCCCAAGCAAGGGTGAAACCACCTCCTTCCTGAGCAATGGCAATTCCGGCAAAGTTGTTGAATTCAGTGCCTGTCTGGTTTGCATCCCCTGGGACGCAAACTGGACGAGAAGGTTGCCGTCAATATCACCGCAGCAGTCGCTCCATGCGCTGACTGACAAACACCAGCTGCTGACGACAGCAAACCTCATGTCGATCTACATGCAGGCACTACTATAAAACTTAAGCCAAACTATCCAGTGCTCCACACCTCTCCTCAAGTTACGTCCCCTATGGCAAATCATTCCAACCCCCAGTGGGTTTCGCAGTTGCTGAGTCTTGTGACGCTCTGCTTCCAAAGTAGTCCAAGGTGTGTAGGGAAATCCTCTGTCGGCCCAAAACCCTATATGAGAGCTCAACAATTTTGACGTTCCAAATGCATTTCACTCTGGAAACCTTCGTTTGACCAACCCATTTGGTCTTCTGATGTCTTCTGGGAAACGGCCCCCCAAAATATCGTTGAACCGTGTAACCAGCGCCAGTCCTTGGACCAACCTGCATGCTGCTCCGCTCAGCTCGGAACCTCCGCGCCTCAGAGCCCATGGAGTCCTTGGAGCCCTTGGGCGGCTCAGGCTCTGTGGGCGGCGGCGTCTGCTTGGAGGAGGTGCGAGAGGACTTGGAGTTCCGCTTCTTGGTGTCCTTCCTGAAGGGTATGGAAGGCTATGGACCGGTGCCGGGTAGGGTGCAATGGAGTAGTTAAGATGTGAGGCCTGACAAGGCCTAAGAACATCTGTGAGCAAAACAAGCCATGGGGCATGTAGCTTCTACAAGCCTGAAGGCTTAAAGAAGACCTGCGTCACCTAAGCAACGGTCTGCGTCATAAGGGTGTTTCAGACCACAATCGGCAACTAACACATTGACAGGGGTTGTGTACCCCATTTGATTGTGGTTTGATGTCGTTGTGATTCTTTAGTCTGGCAGTGGGTGACCTGCCGGCTCAAGACTTGTGTCCTTTCACACCCGTCGATTTCTCATGCATCTTCCACGAAATAACCTGCTCCAAACGTAAATTGCAAGGTCGATGTCCTCTTCGTTGTTTTAGGCTACGGGTGGGGTGGGGGGTTGAAAGTTTGGAGCGTGGGTTGAACTGCAACATGCATGCATTTCCAAGAAAGTTCGCTATGTCTTATGTTCTATCCATGCACCTTGAATTATCAAGACATTAATCAAAAGTTTCTTGATTCACACTATTATTTCCTCATAACAAGTTTAGTGATGATTTAATCGATTGGCTTTGCTGGAGATGGTGCACAAAGCACTCTGGACACTTGCACGGTGGCAGTGTTCACAACATCATGTCTATCTGATTAAAGGGCTAAGCGTTGTCAGATCTGTCAGGGTGCCATCTTTGTTGTTGTAGCTCTTTAGGCTACTGTTGTTCTTCCTCGAATTTGGTCAGGTAAATGTTTGACACACTAACAAACAAATGTGATACTCATCATTCTATAATTACTGTAAGTGTGAAGGGCTTTGATTCAGCTTGTGCTGAGGATCGTCGTAATAATCACAAACAAGTCACCTGTCGCTGTCGCCTGCGACAAACACACAATCCTTGTGACCGATCTATTTTTGGCACATCATCGTTGCGGCAACAATGAGGCTGGAGCATCTACAATCACAAACAAGCGGCCCATATCATGTATTCAATATGAATTATACATATGATTTCATGAAAATACAGCAAGATCACACCCCGTTCCCATCTCAATCCATCCACATAATATCCACCATCAGCGACCCTTCTGACAAACAGGTTAGATTGCCTATTTACAATTATAAGCTGTCTGCGAACAACTTCCTGCTCAAAACTCCGAATAAACCATGGCCGCACATGAGGTCTCTGAATGCTGTTTCCGAAGGTCTCCTGCTCCAGAAAAGAGAGCTTAGACTAGAGCTTAGGTATTGAAGACTGCCGAATGGAAACATGATTATATATATAATTATATATACCAACTTGCATTCTTACGTCCAAAGTGATCGGCCAAAGGAGATGATAGTGCTCCAGGCTCTGGTGGAACGTACCGTGGAGAAAGATTACCTGAGATGGGCACGTGGCAAATGTTCAAGAAAGAACGGGTGAAGCAATCCTAAGCAAAGCAAAAAAAATCTCTGAAGGAACAATGGCACGTCCGCTTTTGCAACTCACGAAAATTGGTATGCTCTGCCGTTTCTATACAAGAGCCGTCTTGCACCTCATGCATTCTTGGCAAGGGTTCGATTTGTGCATGAGTGGAGTGTGCGAGTCTGGCAAGGCCCATGTGCTGGCTGATGCAAGTAGAAAACGGGATCTGATTGTCAGGGCGGGACTTGTGTCTACTATACTGAATTTACCTACCCTAGGTGTCTGTCCCGCGCTGTTCGCATTTGTTGGATGTGCTGTTTGCATGAGTTGGGAGATTGAACCTGCACGGTACAAAGAAGTTGGCATGTGGGGGTGCTCATGAGAAAACACACCTATGCCTTTCTGCATGCGTGGTGCAACCTAAAAGAGGAAAACGAAGCCTAATTGCTGTGAAACGTGCCAAAGGTGCACATTAATCTGCGTGCCCGATCACTGTGAAGGTCAATCATTATCTCGCCTCCATGCTCTTTGAAGTTCAACAGCTATTTCGAATGCCGTCATCTCAGTTGCGTTAATACGCACTCGGTCCAATCCAAAAATGAAATCATTTTGCATTGTGCCCATCTTGTCTCCATGAATCCGTGGCGGAAAGGTCTTGCATCGCACCACTGGAATGATTTTCACTCGTTTCATGTGAGCGTATCGAAGCTCCTCAAATGTCTCAAAACCGCAGCCAGTAAATTGTCCATAACTCTCAGTACAAATCGCGGCCAACATTTTGGCACCGTACAATCCTTCAATGGTCGGATTTCCGAACCTGTTTCCAGACCCTGCATCTACCATAAACACTGGAACGCCAAGCCCTGCAAGCCCCTCCTTGATCTCTTTCATGAACCTCACATTTTCGAGATCGTTGAACCTCCCCGATAGCATCAAATGCTTTCTCTGCTCAGTTTCATCGGGCTCATGACTCGGACCGTCGCAAATAGCCAATGGCTTCTTGATGTAGGCGAGAAAGAACAGGGAGAAGTCTTCCAAACCTGAGAATTCTATGTATGTGGTATGGCAGTGTGCTGGTTGGATTTGATGCCACTCATCGCCATCGTCCTTCCGTCCATACGCCATGTTGACTTGCTTCTTCGTTTGAAGAAGCAGCCTAGTAGCTGGCGGTGTGAGCTTGAACACGGGGCTTCTGCGCGTCACTGTTGGATTGATATTCAAAGAGCCCACATCCTTCACCTCCTCCACCTGTGGTTGTATCCCAGCTTTCGCTGTGTACATGTTGATGTGCACCTCTCCAAGCTCGAAGTGCCTGGATGCCACCCTCGAGCTACTGGCCTCAGGCTTGTCGGGGACGAGGATTTCAACATGTAGCCACACCGAAATGATCCGAAATGCGTGGCACCTTCTTTTGCCTCCTGTGACACCGACTTGTGACTAGTATGCTACAATGTCTGCGTGATGAAAGATCGGCCACATCGAAAAGGTTCGCTCGGCTCCTGCACTGACGTAGACTCAGATTGACATCATCTGAAAATTGATGCCGTGAACAACTGCAAAGAAACAACACACTGGGCGAAGCATTTTGGGCCTACGGGGAAGGAAACGGGCTGGGAGCGCGCAGGGAAGAACATCTAAAGTGATGCATTTACAATAACATAATCTCTTGGCGTAGGCTCCGTTTTCCGATTGCTATTTCTTTTGGCAGCATTCCTTCCTGACAAGACCTGGCTCCGGGGTGTAGAGAACGCATCTGGAGAGACAAATGAAGTGCTGAGTGCCCTTGCTGCTGAACGTCGCCGCGCTGCAAATCTGCCTAGGAGACAAGAACAACAGGTCACGCCAATGTTGGAGCTATTTCTGCATTCAGTCCAGCTGGACACGTTGGGCTCTGGCGAAAAGTCGCTTGGATGCGTGTGGCTGCTGCCTCTTCCACCTCCCAGCCATATGCCGGAGAAAGCGAACGGTAGCAGTGGCATTCACTAACTTGCTTCCGCTGAAAGCACCCCCACAAACAAGTTCTTTGCACATTTATTAACGTTGTCAAACTACTCACATGTCGCACGGTCAGGAAAGGCAGCAAACTGCAAAGAAACAACACTCTGGGTGTGCAAGAAGCATTTTGGTGAATTTTGAGCCTATCAGGAAGGAAAAGTGGTGGGAGCGCGTAGGGCCTGGTTTTCCGACTGCTCTTTCTTGTGGGGGTGCCACAAAGCGGCCTCTAAAGCGGAGTATGAAGCTGTCAGCTCTTCGACCTGGGCAAAGGCAATCAAAACCGACGCGCAAAGACACGTGATCAACACACTTAACTCAAAGATCTGAATCCAGGATGTTCCACGCCGCTGAACTGGGAGAAGCATATACCAACTACTTCTACACCTGGGATTGTATAACCATAACGATTTCAGCATCTTCCAATACAGGTTTTCTCAGCTGCATCAACCAGGTTAGTACTGAAGCAACACGACCAGGGCCTTCAGCTGCAAATCCTTCAGTTTTTGCTGCGATTCCTCCAGCTCTGTCTTGAGCTGTCTATTTTCTGCCTGGAGACACACGTTGCCCATTCATTGAATCGACAGGTGACGCTACAAACACAGGAGCTTCAGGAAAATACTGTCAGAATATCTACGGCATTCTACGGCAAATGCGCCCTTCAATCAATCAATCTGCCATTGTGTAGTGATATATAGTGTAGCTTAGCGCTAGTGAAACTGCAAACGCATGAGCTCATGCCAGTAGCATGTGATGAAAGATCCACCGCGTTCGCCCACCGTTTCTAGCTAGGTCCTGCCGTTGTCCCACTGGGCAAAACAATAAGTGGTTGACCTCAAATAAAATTTCGACCAATGCTCTGGCAACCAGCAACGACAATCTGTTCCCCGGGGAAGCTCAAGGGTTGCTGAACAGCAACAAACCATGCATATGGCATGGAGCATTCTGATTCAACAAGGGCCCGGGTAACTTGCTCGATCAAACGCATGGACCGGGAACCATAAGAGAATAAACTGAAAAGGATATGTGCCCACAGGAGCCTGCAGGAAAGGGAACACTGCTATATAGCACCATTCTGGGCGCACCAAAAATAAAACACAAAACATCAAACACCTAGGCTTTGCAATGCCTGGTTGCCACCCCCGATATCACCTTCACACACCCTCTGGTTTCTTTGAACATGTAGTTTGGGGATACGATACGAAGTCTCAGACCACTGCCCATGCCGCCTCCAAATCTGAACAGGATGCTGTCAGCTCTTTTGCCTTGACAAGGCTTGAGACCAAAGCATTCTCATGCTGCAAATGATCTCTTCCAACAGTCGACTTCAACAGATTTCAACATGTAGCCACACCCAAATGATCCGAAATGCGTGGCACCTTCTTTTGCCTCCTGTGACACCGACTTGTGACTAGTATGCTACAATGTCTGAGTGATGAAAGATCGGCCACATCGAAAAGGTTCGCTCGGCTCCTGCACCGACGTAGACTCACATTGACATCATTAAAACTCACCTGCGGCATGCCTTATTGAATTGGTACATCTGATGCCGTGAACAACTGCAAAGAAACAACACACTGGGCGAAGCATTTTGGGCCTACTGGGAAGGAAAAGGGTTGGGAGCGTGCAGGGAAGAACATCTAAAGTAGCACATTTACAATAACATAATCTCTTGGCGTAGGCTCCGTTTTCCGATTGCTATTTCTTTTGGGGGTGCCGCACGGCGGCCTCTAAAGCAGAGTTTAAAGCTGTCAGCTCTTCGACCTGGACAGCAGGCACTCAAAACCGACACTCAAAGCAATGTGATCAAAACAATTAACTCAAAGATCTGAATCCAGGATGTTCCACGCCGCTATTGTATACCAACTACTTCTACACCTGGGATTGTATAACCATAACGATTTCAGCATCTTCCAATACAGGTTTTCTCAGCTGCATCAACCAGGTTAGTACTGAAGCAACACGACCAGGGCCTTCAGCTGCAAATCCTTCAGTTTTTGCTGCGATTCCTCCAGCTCTGTCTTGAGCTGTCTATTTTCTGCCTGGAGACACACGTTACCCATTCATTGAATCAACAGGTGATGCTACAAACACAGGAGCTTCGGCAAAATTGGTATATAATATCGACGGCACTAATTAAGGAACGTATGGGGCCAGTAGAGATGCCATGACATGCCACATGCCCGTTTGTCCAAGAACATGGTAATATGCCCCCACACGGCCGTGCCTTTGGAATGTTTTCATGTTTAAGCACGCTGTGCTTTTGCTGCTTGTGCAATTTCTTGGCCGGAGAATGGCAGCAAGTATGCCGAAACGACTGCCGAAACGTTGTTTATGGGCATTTCGCAATTCAAATGCCCTCACATGCTTTGAAGCACTGCACTCGGTCCCAGTGCATCTTTTCTTCATTTGGGTCGGCAAGAAGCGCTTCAACCAGCACCAGTCTTGGTCGATCTGCTGTGTTGCGGCCTTTGTTGCTTGCCATTCGACTGCAAGATTTGGTGAATTTGCTCTATGAGTGGATGACGCTGCAAGCGCCAAAACAAAACAATGACCCCAACATTGAAAGGCATAACAGCATAACGATAGACATATGGAACACCACGTAAACATCCACAGCAAAGGCAAACAAAAATCAAACTCACCAAAAGGAAGAGGCCAACGATAATTGAATAGAACTGCCTTTTCCACAAAGGACGCAAGAGGATCAAATGGCAATGTCAAAACATCCACACTCGAGTGTAAATAAGCAGGATGGACAAAAAACCATGGGCTTTTGACAGGATGGGTGGACAAAAAGCCAAAGTCAGCAGCAAATGAACAAACCAACAAGATCCAAGAAGATTAAACACACACAAAGCCAGACGCACAACTGCAACATGTCATGTGAACAAAAAACTGTGGAAGCAACAAACGAATAAGAAGTACATCGACACATGAAGCTCAGATCTCCCAAGGAAGAATGCGTTTCATTGAAGATTCACTAAACTCCCCATCAACAAAACGAAAGTCAGGTCCGCGCGCGTGTGCGTGCACGATCATCTTCGAAACACATCTGAATGAGCGTCATTACGCCCCGAACCCGCCCCCATCTTCCAAAAGTGCGTGTGGCATCGTCTTGGTACCGCATACCCTGGCTGTGCATAAACATCTTCAGACCAAAACATGCACAAAAGTCCACGGCAAAATGTCAACGCTTCTCCCCAGTGGCTGGAAAGACCGCAAATGCCACGCAAAAAACATATAAATCAATAAGTATTCAAGAAGTGCTCGAAAACGACAATACGTGCTGCATAGCGCAAGAGCTGGAGCAACGGAGGGCCTCTAATGTAGTCCCTTGATTTATAAACCCCCCCCCAACAACCAAGGCCTCCAATATAATGTATAAGAAAATCAATCAATTGATACATAAATAAGGAATCCTTAGCTAGCTACCTCTGAAGCTACTCTGGCAATACTAAAATGAAAGGAATCAAGAAGCCTATCTTTGAAGACATCTGGAAAGCCTTAAAATGAAAAGGGATCAATGAAACCTCAGATTGAGGAAATCTGGAATATTACAATAAATGGGAATCAATGGAAGTAGAAATGGACATGGAACTAACTCTGTAAATTTCAATGGAAATCTGAACCCAAAGACCTGCAAAATCATTCAATCTCAATGGAACTCTCCAAGTTTTCAATGGAAATCTGAATCCAAAAGACCTGCAAAATGAAACTTTTGGACAGCTTAAAGACTAAGTAAAGCAAACCAAAAGGAAAAGAACGGAAATGAACACAAGTCTACTTAAAGCAACATATTTTTTAAGCCTGAAATCTCTAGACGTTATTCTAGGGCCCCCCCTAAATAATATCAGAAAGCTGCTTGCTGGACTACCCCCTTTG